TAATTTCATTCCGGAATGACTTGTGACATTATTCTGTTAAAATATTATATCTCTCACATCCATTTCTTCAAATTTTTGTTAAAAGAAGGTAGCTATATTAATCAGAATTGAGAGTTTGTGTCTTATCATATTTTCAGACCAATTATTGAATAATAAGACCAATAACAATCGTAGTGCCAGCAATAAAATATTATCATTTATTTCTTGAGTTTCACCTGTTTCAGACACGTCAAATATATTGTCGAGTCATTTGTCAGCCCGATCCAAAATTTTTCAATTCTTGCAAGCAGTTTAAAACATCAGGCTTTGAACGAGCTTTAATTATAGGCATTTCAAAATTTCATCTACTGATCTGTTCCCATCAATTCTTCTCTCCAGGAACATAGCTAGAAGAAACTTTGTGATATTCGATATTTGTCAGTGAGGAGTAATATTTCATTAGAATTTACAGTTTCGTTGTCATCAATTCGATTGCTTTGATTCCTTGCAAACATAGTAATATTTGACAGAGAAATTTTTTCGATAGCGTATATAACAACCTGCAAGTACCATACAATGAAATTCATGAGTGGATTATATTTATAATATTCGAAGAAATACCTGCTCTCATTTCATCCTCCATCTTTCAGTCAAGTGTCTTAATAGTAACTTTAACGTCACCTCTCACAGATCTCGACTCTCAGCATTGAAATCTAGTATTAGATTTCAGTATTGTCATGATATAGTCTATAACTGATCCCAGATCATACTTTTTGAGCCCCTCAATTTGGTTCCTTACAATATTGTATCTTATTTGTAATTGACTCTGTTCCATTATTTCCTCTTCAGTATTGAGAGTGTACTTATAAAAGACATAAAGAATTATATACAGCAGTAACGACTAGAAGTGTAGCAACAATATCAATATCTTGGCAACCCTATCAACCATTTGGTGGTAATTTTGTAAAATTGATACTTTAAGTACTCTGAAGAAACACGGCTTTGTTTTTTTTTTGCAGTAAATTAATGAATAATTTTCTAGATATTTAAAAAAAAAAAATAAGAAATAACATCTTATTCAATCTTCTTGAGGCGTACTAGTAAGAGTGATTATTAAACGATCTATATTCTAAAACAGCGAGCCTCAATTTATATATGTGATATCTTAAATAATAGTTCTATCAGTTATATGTCACTGAAACAATGCTCTAGGATCATGAAATATTTATATTATTATTTAATATATTTTATATTAAATATTTATATTATCAGTAAGTTTAATATATTACATTTTCAATAACTTTATATGTTTCGGTCTACATTCTAATATGACAACCCTCAAATTAAACTTATGTTATCTGGGAGAACAGTTCTATCAGGCCTTTGTCACTGAAATGATGCTACCAACGAAATATCACTAAAATACAACCTTTTATATTAACTAGTTAACTTTATAATATCATCCATTCAGTAACTTTAAATTTTTTCCTTTCGAAAAGTCAATACAGTGACTTCTACAGTGATTTTAATGACATAAATTGTGGTAGTGATTGATTACTCACCTAGTATAGTAATGCTATTCTGAAATTGTCAAGTATTGCGAGTACCAGTACCACAATTGATGATGAAAGTTTTTCATAGTGAAGCTCAAGACCTCAGTCCTATTACCAACAGCTGCCACTATTTTCTTTGCAACTACATAAATAAATGTGAAAATTGCTCAATAAAGCAATAAATTTTTATTTATAGTTTTTTTTAAATTGCTTGACATTTTCAGCTTTCTTATTTTAATTGGTCTATCAATTTTACTTACTTTTACATTTTTACATTTATAATATTGTCAGCAATAATTTATATATTATATTTGGTATATTTTCACAGACATATTTCACATTTGATTCCCGAGCCGAACAACAAACGGAAGTTTATTTGCGTTATGGACAACATCCGGAATTGTATCCAAATCGGCGTGGTGAAGTAGTACAAGGGTGTGTATACAATAAAAATAAAAATAAAAAAGAAAATAAAAATAAAAAAATAAATAAAAATAAAAATACGAATAAAGGCAAAAAATAGCAAAAAAAAAAAAAATTCGTATGAAACCATCAAAAAATCGGTCTCAGGCCAAAGACTGCCACACATATCGACACAACAACCACAAAATATATACAAAATCAAGTGTTGCCAACTGCTGGCAAATGCTCGTAAGGCATAAAAATAATTTAATTTTACTATTATGGCTTACATAAGTGCTTTTCCGTAATCATATTTTCAATATTAATGAATGACAGCGGCAGAGTTGCTGTTTCTATAGAAAACTAAAGAAATCGAATTACACAAAAAGTTGTTGATAAACATTGATTTCGTCTGCAACTTTTCCCCGTCCCACTCCCATTCCGAGTCTTCTCAGTTGTAGGCAATCTGTATATTCTTTAAATTTCTTATTACCAAAAAAAAGGTCCTTTGTAAATTTTAGAAACAACGCGGAAAGCTACTTAAATATTTCCTTTTCCCTTGACTTCTATTGCGCCATTTTGAATTGTATGCGCTTTCCATTGAACTGAAATTGTTTCCATTAGTATTTGTTTCCTTCCCTACTTATTTTGTAATTTTTTATTTCATAAACATAATTTTATTTATCTTTAGAAAAATATACAAATAAGTGAATACGAAACCATTCGAGAGCAACATTTTGTTGTATTTTATTTTTAAAATAATTTTATTGGTTATTAAAAGTTCATTGAAAAGGTTTGTTCCTCAAAGTTTATGGCCTTTTTTATTGACAGTGGAAGACAGTAGCTTACTTGGACTGACTTTAAATTTTATTTTATTTTTTTTATTTTTTTTGCTGAAATCCTTGAAATTCCTTTTGCATTTCAAGGATAAATACAGAAGTTATTGTTAAGCCTGAACTTATCTCTTGGTTTGTCGGATTGAAACTACATAGACTTCATGCTTATATCCTTTGACATTTTATTTAAACTCTTTTTTATTATTTCTTCAACAGTTTTATAAACATGAAAAGGACTTAAAGCATAAACGTCACTGGTTTGAAAAGAGAATTTTTATGCAGACTTTAGCACTTTTGCCATAGTCCTTCCTCATAAAAGTTATGTTTCTGTTTCAGTATTTTTGTAATATTTTCTTATATTGCATATATACTGAAGACGTAGTGATACTGCAAGTTTTTTACATAGTTTGAATAGTTTTAATATTCTTCTTTTAAGTATCAATACAGTTTATTTTGAGTTTTGCAGTTCTAACGAACCAAATTCAAACTAAAGAAGTATTTATTGCAATAAAACATAAAACAATGTCTGTAAAAGTTGAAAGAATATTTTTAAACTAATGTTTTTAAATCTTATGACAAGGGAGGCCAAGGTTCACACTGAACTGTAGTGCCAAATAAGCTGAAGTAGTCTTATGACAAGAAATTCATTTTAAATAGCAAATGGGTGAAGAAATTTTCAAGTCCAAAAATATATTTAATCCAGTGACTCCTTGGACTGACCATGCTACTACTTCATATTTCGTCAAATATCCAACAGTGTTCTTTCTGAACATCCATTGATTTAATTCTCTACACATAATTTAGTTAAGTTGATTTAAAATAGGTTTATATTATATCTAAGCTAAGATATTACTTAGATATATATTAAGATATATTTGACAGAGAACGCAAATAAATATAAATCCAACATCTCCGACAGTCATTCATTGTCGTGTCCTTTATTTTTCAATATATTTTTGAGTAACTCCAACTCATATTTTTTGTTAGATTTATGGCATAATACTTATATATGTTAAAAAATTTTGAAATAAAGAAGAAATATCTAACTATCCAGCTATCTATATTTGGCAGGGCACGAGTTCAATCCCTAGAACTTGCAGTCTTAAAAAACTATTTATATAAAATAAATAAATACAAGAAATGATCCCAAGACCACTGATGTTGGGTATTTGGCAATACTCAAAACAGCTGTATGATCAGCCAATAACGAATTAAAAATAAAATAAAAGTATAAAAAGATTTTTTGTTTTTATAGTTCACTACTTTTCAAAACCTCTCTACTTAAGATATATTTTTAATAATAAGAATGTTTATTTTTTATAATTTCTTTTAACCTTCATTACTAAATTACGCTAGTTATAAAATTTGCTACTACTTAAATTTCATCCCACCTTTTATTTTTAATTTTTCTATACATAGGACATTCAATAAATATAGGATGATCTTAAATAAAAAAGTTAAATAAAGCCGTACTCAATATATAATCAAATCAATAAGCCGTAGTGTGAAGATAATATTTAGGACTTCCGTCAGTATAATCAATCATTTAGAAAAGAGTACTATCCTTCTTAAAAATAACAAAACTCTTAAAGGGGATAAAGCTCACAAATTTATTTATTGAAAGATTTCAAACCTCTTTATTCTAGAAGTGATCAAACTTCTGAACAGGTAAATGATAATCTGCTGTTAGACGTTATTATTCAAGTAGCACTTAAACTACTACTAAGAAGAATAAAAGTTAGGAATTTCTTCATTCGATGATTTTGAATGCACAGTTAGACGTCACCATTCCATTATACTATCAAACTAAGTACTAAAGAGGGTGCTGCTTCAGAATTCCTTCATTCGAAGATTTTAAATGTCTAATTGGATGTTACCAAACTAGCGTCA